TATTCTCCGAAATAGTAAGGACTTTAAGAATATGTCTACATTACGTACCTTATATACGTGCTTTGTTAGACCCAAGTTGGAGTATGCCTCTGTGGTTTGGTCTCCCTATTATAATAGTTACATAACATCATTAGAAAAAGTGCAGAGGAGGTTTCTTAAATCGGCCAGTTTTATCTTAGATGGAGTCTATCCAGCTCTGGGATATCCTCAGGAGTTGTTATTGGATAGGTTTGAAATGCATAGTTTAATTAAGAGGAGGGTTATGTACTCGATAATGTTCTTGTACAAAATTGTCAACCACGATATTGATTGCATTGAGCTTACAACACAAATAAATTACCGTGTTCCTAGAATAAATGCCAGATCAAATAGTTTGTTTAATCTTCCTTCTTCGCGCACTAACATGTTGCGGTGGTCTCCTTTACATCAAATGCTTTTTAATTATCATAATATGGAGAATAGCCTGGACATTTTCAATACTTCTTTAGCACATATTAAAAGAATTTTCTATTCTCACAATTGAGTTATCGGATTTTTAATTTCTTGTTAGTTTTTTATATTACCTACTTATGTTGTTGTTTCTGTTGTTGGTAATGATTTTAGATATATTAATTCCCATGTGACTTTACCGTTTTGTTATTTTTTTTATTGATTGACTGACCATTGTTTCTGATTAAGGTTTGTACTTTTTGGTAATTTTTATTTATACTTATTTTAAATGTTTATGTTTCTTGTGTTAATGTGTATTTATTGTAGCTGTAATATTCATCCTGTAATTGGGTTTTTCCCATTGGGTGAATAAAATAAAATAAATAAATAAATAAATAACCTTATTAATATGTACTCAAATAGAAGAATACATCTCAAAATCGGAGACAGGATTACCGAATGTAGGCATTCATCCATTGGATTACCTCAAGGGAGCATTCTGAGCCCCCTATTGTTTATTATATACACCATGGATTTCACAAATTCCCTGGACCACAACGTAAAAGTAATTCAGTATGCCGATGACATCTGTATTTACACTCAAAACAAAACAGTCAACCAATGCACCGTCCATCTATCTAAGATTATGGAAAAAATAAAAATATGGACTGATATCAATGGATTTACTGTAGCTGAAAATAAGTCTGCCACATGCTTGTTCAGTCGCACAAAAATCCAGCTCCAGTCGGGAACAAAATTGGGGCCCTATGAATTCTCAACAAAAAGTACAGTAAAATACCTAGGCATATTGTTAGACAGAAAGCTCATTTGGAAAGATCAAATTCAACAAATACTAAAAAGAACACAAAATTCAAACAACATCATCAAAGTATTCACAAAAAAATCTTGGGAGGCCGACCCAATGCAATCCTGTTCTGCAAATCCTTGGTACAATCAATTATAGATTATGATAGCATCTTATATGCGACAGCAGCAGATACACATTTAGAAAAAAAGTTTTAAACCCCCCTAGAATTAAGACGACAATACTTAAGTGACAGAACTATAACAAGATTAATTTCTAAAGAGAGACAATTAATTAATAGCATACATGAATTGACGACTCTTCAAGATACTAGGCCTCCAAAAAGTCTCCCATTAATTAGTTAATTCCTATTTAAAGGTTCAGGAACAACTTCCACACTTACACACGGATAAATTAGATCCTTATTTTTCTACAGAACTCGAAGATTTAGTAACTCCAGTCAAAACCAGTTACCTACCTAAAAATAGATTCCCCATGTGCGAAGACCTTATTTACACATGAATTAAATAGTAAATGGTCAAAATCGGAACACATTTTCACAGATGGCTCCAAAATAAACAATCAAGTAGGGTGCGCCTACTACCATCGAAACACTAAGCTGTTCAAAACATTTAGACTTCCAGATATAGCTTCCATTTTCAAAGCTGAACAATATGCAATTTTGCAAGCTATGAAATATTCAAATACGCTAAGTAATCCAAACGTGGTAATTTTCACCGACTGCAAAAGCATAGTAGACAAGTTACACTCAAATGCAGTAAACAAGATCGACAATATCCAAGCGGAAATCCTGACAGTACACAAGATGATAAAAAGTCACAAAAGCATAGAGATTGTCTGGATAAAAGGATAGGCATAGAAGCCAATGAAATAGTGGACAAGCTTGAAGATGCTGTTACAACAAGCAATTATTCAGACCGAAATATTGTGCCTCCATCAGATTTGGATGCCTTTTACTTGGCGATTCTAAAGAATGTATGGCAAGATAAATTTGAGCAGAGTCGAACTGGAAACTACTATAAACAAGTTCAACCATTAATACAAAAGAACATTTGGTACAAATCAGTTTCGAATCGCCATGTTTATTAAGACAATATGCCATATCCGAACAAACCATGGTTTATATCCCAAACACAAACACAAAATAGGCCTTGCAGACAACCCATATTGTCCCTGCAATGAAATTGGAGACCTACAACATATCTTTCTAGAATGTCCTCGGTATAAAATACATCGCGACAGTTTATATAAGGAATTATCAAAAAATGGGGTAATTTTTCCAGTCAACATTCCCTATCTACGGACTGCCCAAAACCTAAACATCTATGACAGCCTTTACAAATACATCAAGAAGTCCAATCTTGAAATTTGAGTCACAGCGGTCAGCAAACTGTTGAAATTGTAATCATCAGAACACAATATGTATAATTATATATAAGTATATTAAAAAAAAAGAAAAAATAAGTAAAACAAAAAGGAAAACCACCTCAAACTTGCTCTCTTAATATATAAAAAAAATAATAATAAATATATAAATAAATAAAAATTAAATAAAAATAAATAACAAAAAAATAATAATAACACTTGAGTTCAATCAAATCAATAACATTAGGATTTAAGCACAGAATGGTGAGAAACATTTTGAGAATAAAGAATGTAAATTTTGAGTATTGTGTAAAGACCGCAAAAGTAAAATTATGGATAGGAAAAAGAAATCAAGCATTTAGTTAAAAGCAAATACGCTCTGGCTAATTGACATGTCCAAAGCCATAAACACACACGCACACACACACGCGCACACACACACACACCCACACACACGCACACACACCCACACACACACATGTATGAAGTTGATTTTTTTAGAATTCTTCTTAACTTTATTCTGCTCACTGGTGGAAAATAGGGATATGTCATATTACAATGTTCTGCTTAGAATCCCATTGCAACGTCTGTAAATAAATAATAATAAATAACTGGATAACTTAAAAACTAGAAAAGATAGGTATAGGGAACCCTGATACCGTTCAAAAGAGAATAAAACTGTGTATCAGAATATAGAAAAACATACAGGGTGCTCCATTAAAAAAAACGATTTATGAAGGTTTGAAATTAACTAAACTCGGCATTAAATTTCTAGCACCTTGTATGCAATTAAGCCACTTTGAAAGTATGGATGGGCAAGCTTAGGGGTCTAGCTTTCCCCTCTATAAATATTGTTGTTTTATCCTTACTATAAAATACACACGGTTTGAAGCTAGTCACTGTTTCTCTCCATTTTTTTGAAAAAAATTAAATATCTCGAAAACGGTTAATTTTAGGAATAGGGAAACTTCATAAAAGTCCGTCTAAAATAATACGTAGAATCCAAAATTGCAATAATTTATAGGGTGTTCCATTTAAAATAAGCAAGTTGATGGCGACTTCCGGTATAACCAGAAGTGGTACGTGGACGCCATTATTTTAGTTGAGAAGGGCATGCCCGAAAACCCGGTATCCCAAATTTTCAAAATTCAAATCGAAGTAGTCTCTGAAATAATTCTAATGGGCCGTCACCGTGAGGCACCCTGTATGTTCTAGCTACGTTTCACATATTTGTAGTCTTTGACATTGCTTGTCCAGCACTACTGTTTATAGTTTAGGCAATATATTAAAAGTTAAGTAACATTTTATTGTTTCTCATAACATACCATGCTTTAGTGGTGGGTTGGAGGATTGAAACAGGGCGAAGAATGGTATTATTGCGATTTCCGGCGAAAGTAGACGTCAAAAAAGTATCCAATACAAAAGTTGTACATCATGCAAAAATCTACAACTTTTGCAGAGGTCACCTTATAACATAACCTCAAAAAAAAATTTGAAAAATCGTTTTTCCTTTTGTTTTTGCTTTTTTATTTTTCATTTCCACAAAAATAACTTAATGTTGATGAAACTTGATGAAAATATACCTTCATGTAGGTAATAACCGCACATTTTTTTAGTTTTATTTATTTATTTATTTAGATACTGTACAAAAATAAAGTTTCGGGTCAAACAATGAAACAGTTTCTTTTGTATTCTTTTCAATTTTTTTAAAAGTTTAATCAAATTCTCGACAATTACTGAAAAATTCATTATTTCAAGTCATATTTTGATTTTTTTTTTGAGTTCTTGAACTACATTTTTTTTATTTTTCCAAAACGTATATGTCAAAACAAGAAACTGAGCATCGACAGAACTCTGCACGACGATTTTTCTAAGTAGAATTTTTGTTTCAAAAAAGGTGTTTCGGGCCGAAAAAAATGAATATCTCTGAAAGTTCTCGATTTTCTTTATTTAAGAAAATTTGTGGTTATTATACTTTCACCAAGATTCGTAAAAATTAAACTGTTTTTGCGGAAATGATTAATAAAAAACTAAAACCAAAAGAGAAAAACGATATTTTTCTCGGAAATTTTGAGGTGATCTACATCTACATCTTTTGAGGTGCATAATTTTTTTTTGACGTCAACTTTCGCCGATAATCTCAATAACACCACTCTTCACCCATTTTCAACCCCCCCCCCCCAAATCAACCCTCCACCATCCCCGTTCATGCATTTATTTTTTTTATTATAAGCCCCTTTACCATTTCCGCTTATAAAAGCCCAGATAACAATTTTTTCTTTGTTTCCCTCTAAATGAGTTATTTCGATCGGTATAGGTGGTACCCTATTATGGAAAACTATCGTAACAGTTATCTCATCATCATTTTAACAATACTTACCATCTACGTTGTTCAAGATAGGAATCACCGATGTCACTTGATCAGGATTCCGATCTTTTTCCATAATGTATTGAAGTGGTCCATCATAACCTACAATTATTTTCAAAATTATACATTATTCATAATTCTTGTAATTCTTTTGACATTAAAATATTTCGATAAAACAACACAAAGTAATATACATACAACCATAAATTCTAATTAAAAATTGGACGTTAGCTTAAGACGATCTAAAAAAACAATATTATTAAAATACATATGTACATTTTACTTTAACATCAAATGTTAGGTAGGTATGTGCATTAAATAATATAAAATAAAAAATATAAATTATGCATCGTGGCCAAAATGTTCATTTTTGTCAGCAGTTTTCATAACTTCACATAGAAACAGGAGGTATTATACAGAGTGATTCCGGTTTAATCTGGACAACTTCAGGAATCGATACAACAGGTTAAAATAATGTTCATTCAATATATAAACTTATTTCCTAAATCCCACCGTTTCGGAGATAGAGGGCGTTGACGTAGGAATTTTTTGTTCGTTTTTCCCAAATCACTTTTGAACCACTCATCCGATTAAAGTGAAATTCGGAACACAAACACTCCATATGATCTTACATAAGCTCCATAAGTTTGAACCACCTACCCCTATTAGAAGTGTATTTTGTGTGCTACCCCCTCCTACATTATTTCAAAACTTCAAAAAAATTAATTAATTTCAATGAAACAGCTGTATACCAGCTTATGTAAGATCATAAGAAGTGTTTGTGCTCCGAATTTCACTTCAATCGGATGAGTGGTTCAAAAGTTATGAGGGAAAAACGGGGAAAAAAATCCCACTTCAACGCCCGCTATCTCCGAAACGGTGCAATTTAGGAAATAAGTTTATATAATGAATGAACATTATTTTAACCTGGTCTATCGATTCATGAAGTCAGATTAAACCTGAACCACCCTGTATGCTTTTTATTGTTTGCTATATTTAATAATATCGATTTTTTTAAATTTTAGTTATTTGTTTTATCTTGCTTAAATGAAAAGTTATTTAGTGTACCTAAACACAAATACAGGCTGTTTCTGAAAGACCTCCCGTAAATACAGGGGGTGATAGTATGACAATTAATAACAATTTTTTGTCTTATGAACTATATGGCTATCTCCTCTTGTTTTCAAGATACACAGCGACAAAATAAAATTTTTTAAATAGAATTTTTACGAAAATTTCCAAACGGTACGAAATATTTTTATGAAATTTGATATTCCGGGGTTTTTAAGGATGACAAATACGCTGGTCTAATTATTTTTTGGATATTTCAGAGAGGGCCCTAGTTATGCTACATTCCTATTACATTTTATGTGCTAATTTTTTTAGGGTTAGGTTTTTTACCATTCGGGCTCCAATGTTTAATGTAAAATTTTATTTTCTAAAAATAATGTACTCTTGTTAGAACTTCTTAATGTGTACGGTTTTCTAGAAACTTTTAATTAAACTCTTACAATATTACGGTGTATAAAATAATTGACTTTTCTCAATGTAAGCTTATGACAAAACTTATTGATGGATGTTAAACAACGTATACATTCTTAGTGATTTTAGTGACTGTAGTTAGTAATGACTAATTACATTCACTAAAACTTTGATATAACGTTAAATAGAGTTTAAAATATTACTGAGAATGTATGCGTTGTTTATGAGACATCCATGAGTAAGCTTTGACAGAAGCCTACTTTGAGAAAAGTCACTTATTTCATACACCGTAATATTGAAAGAGTTTAATTAAAAGCCTTTTTCTCTAAAACCGCCCACATTATGAAGTTCTAACAAGAGTACATTATTTTTAAAAAATAAAATTATACATTAGAAATTAGTGCCCGAATGGTAAAAAACCTAACCTTAAAAAAATTTGAACATAAAATGTAATAGGAATGTAGGAATAACTATGAAATATCAAAAAAATAATTAGACCAGCCTCTTTAGCATCCTTAAAAATCCCGGAATACCACATTTCATAAAAATATTTTGCACCGTTTGGAAATTTTCGTAAAAATTATATTAAAAAAATTTTATTTTGTCTCTCTGTATCTCGAAAACAAGAGGAGATAGACGTATAGTTCATAAGACAATAAATTCTTATTTTTATTGTACTATCACCCCCTGTATTTACGGGAGATCTTTCGGAAACAGCCTGTATACAGGGTGTTAGTAAATAAGTGCGACAAATTTCAGGGGGTGATTCTACATGAGAAAATAATGGCAGTTTGCTTATAAACGTATGTTCGCAAATGATTCGTTTTCCGAGATACGGGGTGTAAAAATTTTTCTTAAAAACTGACGATTTAATTTATTGCTCTGAAACCGGTCGAGATGCGCAAATGAAATTTGGTGGGTTTTAAGAGGTAGTTATTGCGCATTTTTTGACACGCAATTAAGAATTTTATGTTCATCATTGGCGCGCATACGGGTAATAATCTCAATTTTTTTATAGAAAAAAATGGTACGCCACTGAGATATAGATATATAGCTGGCAAAAAAATACAGTTTTAAAATAAAAAAAGTACCCTCTACGACCAACAGGAGCCAAGATAAGAATTTTTTTTTTAAATCGTAGCGCAATTGTTTATAAATATTAAGACTTGAGTTTTTCGCAAAATAAAGTTTACGACGTAAACTACGATTTCCCGTGAATTGCATTGAAAAATGTGGAAAATTAACGACTCACGAGCACTTTAAAGAGAAGGTACTCGGTAAGTAAACTGTCCGGCGGCCGGCGGCGTGGTGGTGGGGGAAGCTCGTCCAAGCGGTCGCGCGGGCGAGAAAAGTTAAATCCAAAGTTCAAATAAGTGCGCGCTGTAAATTTTGCAATATCTCGGCTTCTATTCATGGTACTTATTTTTTTTTAAATTGGGGTAGCTCGACGAAAAAATAACAATGGGTATATTTACGAATTCGTAGAATAGCCCTGAACCCCAGAAAAATGCATCTTTTATACTTAAATTTTTTTTAATTTACAAAAATGTCACAAAAATTATTGCTAAACGAAATATTAATTAAAATTCCAATTTCGGAATTATTTTACTATTATTAAATAAATGAATGAAACTATCGTTCATTTATAGTTATTTTTTTAACATATTAAGGCAAAGTAAATTTGTTTTTTCAATATTTTGTTAGCTATTTAATTACGATTTAAATGTAAAATTAAAGTGAAAATTCACAAATTATTTTCAAATTATTATTTTCTCATAAAAATAGAAACAATTTTAAATTTTAAATTGTTGTATTATTATATTATTGAAAATGGTTGTAATTAATATTTTTTTAATTAATCTTGATTATGTTGCAAAAATTTTTTTGTATAAAATTAGTAATAAATATAATAAAAAAACTATATATTAAAATTTCAAGAAGTTAAAATTGTAATTTTATCGACCGCATTATTTTCATTAATATTTTTTAGAATTTTGCAATAAATTCAAATGTTTTATTCTTTTTTAAATCTTTTAACAATAAATAATAATTTGAAAATAATTTGTGAATTTTCACTTTAATTTTACATTTAAATCGTAATTAAATAGCTAACAAAATATTGAAAAAACAAGTTTACTTTGCCTTAATATGTAAAAAAAATAACTTTTTAAATGAACGATAGTTTCATTTATTTATTTAATAATAGTAATAATTCCGAAATTAAAATTTGTATTAATATTTCGTTTAACAATAATTTTTGACATTTTTGTAAATTAAAAAAATTTAAGTATAAAAGATGCATTTTTTCTAGGGTTCAGGGCTATTCTACGAATTCATAAATATGCCCATTGTTATTTTTTCGTCGAGTTACCCCAATTTTAAAAAAAAATAAGTTTCTACCATGAATAGAAGCCGAAATATTGCAAAATTTACAGCGCGCACTTTTTGAACTTTGGATTTAACTTTTCTCGCCCGCGCGACCGCATGAAGTAGCTTCCCCCACAACCACGCCGCCGGCCGCCGGATAGTTTACTTATCGAGTACCTTCTCTTTAAAGGGCTCGTGAGTCGTTAATTTTCCACATTTTTCAATGCAATTCACGGGAAATCGTAGTTTACGTCGTAAACTTTATTTTGCGAAAAATTCAAGTCTTAATATTTATAAACAATTGCGCTACGATTTAAAAAAAAAATTCTTATCTTGGCTCCTGTTGGTCGTAGAGGGTACTTTTTTTATTTTAAAACTGTATTTTTTTGCCAGCTATCCATTGCATCTATTTTCGGTGAGATAGCATAAATAGCAACAATGTTATTCAAATTGTTTATAAGCGAAAAACGCACGGTTTTTTAATGCACAATTTGAGAATGTTAATGTCAAAAAAACGGTGATATTTTTTAATAGGTCGCTTAATTGCGTCTTTAAGATTACAATGACGCTTTCAGAATCATGTTTGATTGAAAATTAACGCCTGTACAGAGGCTTAAAGTTCATAACTTTTGGAGCCTCCGCTATAAACAAATAGAATTGTGCGAAAACTATTGCACCTACAGCGCCCACTTTTGGCACACTTTTAAAGTATGACAAAACCCTCAACTTGTCATAGGTTTTATAAAATTTTAACAATAAATGCGATAGTTATAAACAAATGAAAAAATGGGCACTTTTCTTGTTTTTTTGCAATAACTTTTTTGTTTATTAACCGATTTTAATTTAACAGTCTCATTTTGTAGATAATTTTACTCCCTATAAGCTGTCTGAGAGTCACTTTTCGCTAAAATTGATGGTTTTCCCTGCAAAGTGAAAAAACTGTTTTCCTCACTTATTTGTTTAAATAGAAAAGTTAGCTAATAAAAGTTTATGACTCACGAGACGAGAGATGTCTTGTATTATATTCCTTTAGACAATTTTACAATAATCTCGCGGATAGGACTTTTTTCGAGGAAAAATTTAATTTGCTTGGTCTATAGGACAATCTTTTATTCCACTGAATGATGTCCGTAGAAGATTTTGAAGAGTGGACCAATATAGAGTATTTAAATCTACTAAGTAATTGAATGTTGTTGTTCTAAAGCGTTTGTCACACTTGATAATGCCAATTATTGTTTTGAAGGGGAAAATTC